GCTTTACAAAAGGTCCTACAACGGGACGTTGCTTCGGTGCCTTCATCAAGATGAAGCCGAAGTAGCAATGGAGGAAGTACACAGTGGCACTTGCTCAGCTCACCAGGGACCCTTCTTCATGTCCCGAAGGCTAATAATCCAGGGCTACTTCTGGCCTACGATGGCCCGGGATTGTGCAGATCTTGCCCGGAGGTGTCCCGCATGCCAACACTTCCAGAAAGCCCCCGGCAGGCCAGCGGTCAACTATGCCCCCATCAGCACATCCATACCCTTCACTCGATGGGGCATAGACCTTGTGGGCCCTCTGCCGAGGGGTACCTCCAATAACAGATACATCATCGTCGCCATCGATTACTTCACCAAATGGGTGGAAGCTGAGCCCCTCGTCAGCATCACTGAGGCCAGGTGCCGTCATTTTGTTCTAAAAAACATCCTCATCAGGTTTGGCGTCCCTCAGCAAATCATCTCCGACAATGGGACTCAGTTTGAGGCAGCCCCCTTCTGTGCCCTCCTAGAGGCATGGGGCATCAAACACACCTTCTCATCCGTTGCCTACCCTCAGGGCAACGGACAGGTGGAGAACGCCAACAGGACCTTACTCGAGGGCCTAAAGAAGAAGCTGGAGGCCGAAGGGGGTGGTTGGATAGAAGAACTCCACAACATCTTATGGGCCTACCGTACCACCCCTCGGCGGGCAACTGGCGGGACACCCTTCTCCCTTTGCTACGGATTTGAAGCCAAGGCCCCCACCGAGGTAACCCTTCCAACCCGAAGGGTCACACAGTATGATCCAGAGGCCAACGACGCCAATATGGCCCTCGACCTCCACCTGATTTCAGAACGCCGAGGGCAAGCCTTCATACGCGCGGAAAACTACCGAAGGCAAGTAAAAAGTTACATTGACGCCAAGGTTCGCTCCCGGGAATTCCAAGTGGGGGACTATGTTCTTCGAAGAAGGGAAGCTAGCTAACCAACCGAGGGCGGAAAGATGGCACCAAAGTTCGAGGGCCCCTACATCGTGACAGCCATCATTAAACCGGGAACTTACAAGCTAAAACGCCCTAACGGGACTGAAGTCCCTAGGCACTGGAATGTACATCACTTAGTTAAATTTTATCAATAACATCAGAGCGGCCAAGCCCTCATAACTAGTGAATGTATTATTTTACGGCCCAATGCCTAAGAATTCTGAAGAATGAAGGCATTTTGAAGACACCGAGAACACGGAACAAGATTATCACAGGGGCCAAGCCCTCATATCACCCCAGGCCCAAGGCCTCACCACAATAGAAGAACCCTTGGCACCAAGTGCCGAGGGTAGACCATACTATCACCCACGACAAAGCACCACCTGTCCCCAAAAAGAAACCCCTCGGCACCTGGTGCCGGGGGGACACACCACTATCAACTTTCAACAGATGGGAAGAAACACCAAGTGTTCCCACAGAAGACCCCTCGGTACCAAGTACCGAGGGTAGACAACACAATCACCTTCAACAAATGGGAAGAAACACCAAGTGTTTCCACAGAAGACCCCTCGGTACCAATTACCGAGGGTAGACAACATAATCACCTTCAACGAATGGGAAGAAACACCAAGTGTTTTTACAGAAGACCCCTCGGTACCAAGTGCCGGGGGCCGTACATCGGAACAAACACCAAGTGTTGTTTCTTAAGCCATACCCATCGAGGACGCCTATACCGAAGGCGCCACCTCTCGGTGCCGGCAGCACGTAGTGCACCCGGCCATTTGCAACTAGTGTGCAAATGAAAACCCTTCCCTGAAACGCTTTCCGCGTCATCACCCCAAGGGTATGACAGGCACGAGAAATGCCCAGGATTCGACTTTCAAAAACGGAACGCTTTCCGCGTCATCACCCCAAGGGTATGACAGGCACGAGAAATGCCCAGGATTCGACTTCCAAACCGAAACGCTCCCCGCGCCACCACCCCAAGGGTGTGGCAGGCCACGGACTATGTCTAGCGCCGAGGGGACGACTTTCAAAACTGAGGCGCTTTCCGCACCATCCCCCAAGGGGAGGCAGGCTACAGACCACCATATCTTGTACCCAAGAAACGACCCTCGATCCCCTCGGAACTCGGAAGGTTAACCCGAGGGGGGAGCTAATGGTGTATTCTGTTACCTCCCGATAGGCCAAGCCTTACCAAGAAACCAAGTTTCTTGAAGCCTTCCCTTCACTACTCAAAAAAAATGGGGTGGTGAAGGGGAGTAGACTCGGCGAGAAATCAATGAGTACATCACTCCAACAATTCACAAAAACATACCGAGGGCTCCCCACGGGAACACCTTCGGTACCTGGAAGTTCACAAGTACAAAGGATACCATTCACAACAGACATCATCAACAAATGGCTAAGTCCACTCAAGGGTTGCCTCCGGCTACACCTAAAACCGAAGGTTTAAATACTACAAAACATGGCAGGCTCAGCCAACAACAACTCAAAGCGTCCCCGAAGGCTACTACATAACAAAACTATCAAATGGTGGCCAAATCAAGTCAAGAATCACCTCTGGCACCTCACTAAATGCCGAGGGGATACATCCAGATAATCCTCGAGGGAGTCTGCCTCTTTATGCTGGACTTGGACTACAAACTCTCCTATAGCAACATTGGGGGGACATAACAAACAACCGGAGGCTTTTTATTGCCACAAGCCAACATCACAAGGCAAAGGAAACTATCCTGAACCTACAACATATACAGCCGAAGGCCCCCCTCCCGAAGGCCAGCAGCAGGAAATACTTAGAAAAAATAATCTAAGTCCTAAATGTTTTGCCCCCTGTGGAGCCACCAGTCAACCAAAGGTATATCTGAGACAAGGCCCTCACAGTCACCCGAGGGCTCCTACTTCATACAGGCTACACTCAGAAAAATTTCCAAGTCCCAAAAGTTTTACTGACGAGCACTTTGTCACGGTGCGTCAAAATAATTTCAATACTAACACTTATACGTAGTATAGCGTAGTAGAGTTCGTATCCACAGGGAAAGGAATAATTCTCTTTTTATGTTACTTAGTAAATAAAAGGGGGGTTTTGGTGATGAATGATTTAATTAAATTAAGAACTAAGATGAACGACCTATATGAGATTTATGTCAAAGATAAAAACGACTTGGCATTGCTACTTTCCACTTGTTGATATATTTTAGTCGATCATTGTTATATCTATAACTTATTCCCTCTCGAATACTCAATCGGGGAGTATATCCACTTCATCGAGGATAGTTATTAACAACGACCGTTCATTAATAACCCTTACTATTAATCAAATATAGAACAACGCCTTATACCGATTTAATAGTAGCATTTAATCTTTCTAACTCCTTGATGAAATCAATTGAGATTGATAACCTCAACACAAGCGGTTTCGGTTTAACCAACAAAATTAATCCCTCTTAAGTTTATTAACCACGACCGTGCATTAATAAACCGAAGTTACTTACTTGTGAAACCATCAACGATTAACCATCGGTTCGTTGATCGTTTCTAGTAATAATTAATATATGAAACAAAACTAGTTGATCCTTTAAGTAATGTTCAAAATATTAATATGAAATAAGAGTAGGAATTAATTAATATTCAAGGAAGAATATTATTAATGAAGATGAATCCTACTATAATTAATATCAAGATGTTAACTAATTGTCATCTTAGCAACACTCCTCAATATTAATATAGAGGAAGAAAATATCATTCTAACTAATGTCGAGATGTTAACTAATTGTCATCTTAGCAACACTCCCCAACATTAATATAGAGATGGTATTAAGGAAAGAACTATTAATTAATATTCAAGGAAAGAAGTTTAAGAAAATAACTCACAACTTTAATAATCAACAAGCTTCAAGAGCAACACCAAGAATGGAAGTTTAGCTCCTCATTTGGAGGCTAAACATAGCTAGAAAAATATAAAGAAAGGCTATTCTAAACTGAGCTAAAGAGTATGGAAGAAGGGATGATTTTTTGTGAAGAAAAAGTGTGCTATTTATAGGTGTTTTTCAACACCTTTGGCCGGGTACCCGACCGGGTATAGTACTTACCCGACCGGGTCCGGTCAAAATCAGATAATCCGCCACGTTCTGGTGATCTTCGCACGTCGTTTTGTCCCGGGTCACATCTGACCCGACCGGGTCAAGTAGGGGACCCGACCGGGTCTAGTGACTTTCTTGGCAATTTCGTCTGTTAAATCACACCCGACCGGGTGGGGGTTTCTACCCGGTCGGGTTTCACTCCTGGGCAGTCAAATTTCTTGTTTTCTTCTCTTCAAAGTCTTCCTTTCCGACACCACAAATCCTAACTAAACTTTACAACTTACAAATAAAGACTAAAATACAATTACAACTGAAATCACATAAATGTTTACAAACTAAATAAAACGTCAAACAATTAACATAAATCAAACATAAAAACATGTAATTATGCACTACTAATTAGTGTGCATCATTTACCCTCGGTCAAATCTCCATACAGCCCGAGGGCCATGCGGATGAGGACTTGGCAAAAGTATACTTAGAAAAATATTCTAAGTCCTAACTATTTCTGGGCCCTCGGTCATGCATCCAATCAGCGAGGGGTATCCACGTACCGAAGGCTACACGATATCCAAACACTTAGAGATTTTCTAAGTCCTAAACACCCCGCCTCTGGTCATCTCGTGAAGGCTACATAGAACCGGAGGGAAAGAATCAGCCGGGGGCCAACAGATGAACAAACACTTAGAAATATTTCTAAGTCCTAAACGTTGAGCCCTTGACCAAAGGTGCCGTTAACTAGATAGGCCTAGCAGCCGAGGGCTACGAGGGGCACTACACTTGGAAGAATATATTCTAAGTCCTAAACATACATTCGGAAAAGCGAAGGCATACATTCAAAGAAAAGCGAAGACATACATTCAAAGAGGGGCGAAGGCATACATTCAGAAAAGGCGAAGGCATACATTCAAAAAGAAACGAGGGCATACATTCCAAGAAAAACACTCAAGGGAAACACATTATATACCAAAAGCCCGAAGGCATGTACTCATTCATCAAAGAAAAGGAATTCAAATGTACATTACAGAGGGCTGAAGGCCGAGGGCATACAAGCATTCATTGCAACGGGATTGTTCAAAACATGTTGAATTAAGAAATTACAAATTAACATCCTCGGGGGCCGTCTCCCCCGAAGGCTTTGAAGTAACCTTTGTACCGGCCTCAGGTTCGTCACCCTCGGCCTCCTTCATCAGTTCGGTATCCTCCAGGTCTGGCCTCTCGACATCGGAGGGGAGAGGAACACGGACATCTGGCTGCAGGGGGGAAGTCCGTACGCTGCCGGGTCAAAATCCTTTTGCTCAATCTTCAGGTGGCGGGCCATCCTCCGGTAGATAAGGGCTTGAGTGAAAAACTCGCCCCCATCATAGTACTGTTTACCCTTTCGGGAAACCCACTCCACATCGAGCCCATCGCACCACTCGTCGACCGAGGACTCGACGACCGAGGACAGCCATTGTTTGTGCTCCTCTGCTCGCCACCCCCTGCCAAGAAACCAGAGATGGCGTCCCCTCGGGCTTTCTCGACGGCCTCCACCTTGGCAGCCTCGGCCTCCCTAGCAGCTCTCTCAAGGGCCTCAGCTGCGGACCTCTAAGCCTCGGCCTTGCCCCGGTCTGCGGCCTCCGCCCGCAGGGTCATCTGCCGAAGGCTCTCCTCCAGCATAGTCATCTGCCGGATGGCATCGGAATTCTGGCGGATGAGCTCCCGCATCTTGGCATCCTGCTCGGCCTTGCAAAGACGCCACTCCTCTAGCCTCCGGGCCTGCTCTCCGAAGGTAATGCAGGTCTACAAAAAATAAAGAAGTTAGGAAGGCCGTACATTATTTCCTAGCACAAAGTAAAAACGGTAAACTGTCAAAAACTTACCGTGAGGGAATACCGAAGGATCTTGTCCTCAAGGGCTTGGTCATCATCAGCCCCGAGGGCTGCTCTGTCAATCTCAGGGGTCATACCCCTCAGAAACACCCTCGGGTCAGCCGTGCAATTCATCACGGCCGTTCCTACCGGGAGGGAAACCGTCAGGACCTCAGAAGATGGCTCCCGGACACCCCCCGGCACCTCCGCCACCGTCATCTCCTCATCATGCGTCCCGGAGGCGGGACAATCGTCAACAATAACCACGGGAGGTCCTTTCCTCCCGGCATCTCCCGTCTTCGGCCTTTTGCCCTCGGGAGCCTTGCCCGCGCCTTTTCTCTTGGCAGCAGCAGCAACGTCAGTATTTGGGGTCGCCGACGGCCCCTCCGGCTTCTTGAAGAAGTCATCGGCGGGTTTTGGGACGCCAGCATCCGCTCCCTTCGGGGCCTTGGAAGACTTTTTCTTCTTTAAATCAGCGAGCCCTCTGACGTTCATCATATTGACCGGGATACCTGCAAAACAATATGGGGTTAGAACCGAGGGGTCACTAACCGATGGCACAAAAAAGAAACAAACAACAAACAAACTATGTGCTAAGGTACGAAAACGAGGGTGCCCTCAGCCACTACCTCCGGAGGCTCCCTCAAATGCCGGGAACTTCTCATCTGTTTCCCCCAGGAAGCGATACCGCCGGAACCCGAGGGTGTAGAGATCCTCCTCTTGGGTGCACTCCTTGATGGTTATGTTTTTGTCCCGGCCCTCCGGGATATTTGCCAGGATCCTGCCATCTTTCTCGAGGGCGGTGCTCCTCCTCTTCTCATGCCTCCTAAACCGGTCACGCAATTCCCTCGGAAATGGGCTCTCGGACAACTTCACGTAACACCACCGGTCTTTCCACCCTTTGTTCGAGGAGGGTGCCTCAGTTAAAAGCCTGAACAATGCCACCTGCTGCAAGTTTGCGAAGCCCTCGGCATTCGCATGCCCCCCCCCCCCCCCCCGGCACAGGTTGAAGCTTTGGAAGAAGAGATCCAGGCTAGGTGTTACCCCCCGGGATTTGCAGAGCTGGAGGAAACCCGTGATGTAGGAATGGCTGTTCGGGGTCAGTTGGCAGGGGACCAAACCCACGAAACGGAGGTACTCCCGGAGGAAGGGGTGTAGGGGGAACCAGAGCCCCATCGACACGGAGAGGATGTGCACCGCGATGCAGCCCTCGGGAGCCCGAGAGAGGACGTCATCGGGACCCAGTGCCACCACGATGGCCGAGGGGCCCACGTATAATTGAGTGACGTAAAGATCCGCCGCATCAGCTTTCGACCTTATCTCTAAGGCGGCGGTATTCAAGTAGGAATACCCCTCGGGCATATCGAGGGGCTTCCCTTGGTCTGCAACGCTGCCCTTCTTCTTGGGGACAGCAACCTTCGCCTTCTTTTTTCCGGGGGCCACCCGGATGGGAACCGCGTTCAGCGGCCGAGAGGTGCTGGCCTCGCCAGTGCCTCGAGGGGGGGAGAACAGCAACAGTGACCCTCGCGCCCTCTTTCTGCGCCTCTTCCTCAGCTACTTGCCATGCGAGGGCCAGCTCTTCGTCTTCACACTCTTGTTCGAAGCCCTCGGCTTCCGCCTCAGCTACGAGGGCTTTCTGCAACTCCATGGCGACGACAGCGTCTTGTCCTGCTGAGGGCTGTTCGCTTGTGGACTCCACGTCCGAGATGACTTCATCCTCCATCGAGGGCGCCCCCGAGATGTCTTGGGAATCACTTTGGGAAGACATCTTTGCACTAGTTCGAGGGCTCGGAAACACTAGAGTTTTCTAAGGTACAACTCCTAGAACTAAGGCCGCTACAGCTAGCTAAGGAGGGAGAAGAACAGATGGGGAACTGACCTTAAAACGGGGATTGATCGAAGGCAGTTGTTTCTCTCTCTAGGAATTTTGGCAGAGCTTCGCTAACGGGTAAATCGCACATGGGAAGTGAAGCCGGCCATGGAGTATTTATAGGCACTGGGATCCGGGCTTGGGCCTGGAAACCGGGCCTCCGGTTGGACTGCCATCATTACAAACCGTGGCTTCGCCCAATCGGTGACGCCCGCCCACGGGCAGCCAACGAGCACACACCACGTGGCAACCCCCCCCCCCAACGGCTATATTTCCGACGGCTATATTCCGGGAGCTCCCGGCTACACTTGGCAGGCCACTCCTTCATCAACCAATAAACTGGCCCCCGGGTTTTTACTTCACTCCACTTCATCAAAAAGAGCCTCCGGGTACACTTACCCAGAGACGCTCTCGGGTTGTGCCCCACACAGTACATGACAAATGCCTTCGGGATCACTCCTTCAGAAGCCCCCGGCTTCATAACAGGCCCACCCCTCGGGGATCCCCCCTCAGCACTTTGGGGGTCGGGTAGCCCCCGGGGAGTACGCCTCATTAACAGGTAGTCTACGACACACAGGTAACGGGAGCCCTCGGATACCCTTCTCCCCAACTGAACAACAAACAGGGGGCACCCCGGTGACACTTCAACTGCTACTCACATTCATGACGCCCTCGATCCCCAGATTGAGGGACCCCCCTTCGGCACCTCCCAGGGCATCAATAACAAGCCTCCGGCTAATCAACACATGAGCCCTCAGAACAAGGAAAGCCTTCGGCGTCAGCATTATTCTCCATTTCGAATCAAGGTTTCACATTTTCGATTCATCGTTGGGGGAATTCGGTGCACTCTTTTTCCCTCATTAGGATTTTTTCCCACAGGGTTTTTCCTAATGAGGTTTTTAACGAGGCATCCCCCCAAAATGAAACGAAAAGCGTCAGCCTTCGGCCAAAACAGCAACGCGACTACTCTTCTCCTTTTCACCATTTTTCAAGTGCCTCAAGGAGTGGGGGACTGGAGGACCCCCTCGGGAAAAATCACAAAAATCACAAACATGACCCCTCAAGTCCCGACATGTGGGTAACTGAGGGACTGCCCTCAGCAGAATAAACAAACAGCAAACTACCCACAACTCTACAAACTACAAACGGAACAACGACAGAGGACAAACACAATTACTCCTTTTCCCTCAAGTACCTTTCGGCAAAAGGAGTGAGGGACTCCTGATGGAGTATATGGCCCGGGAACCCCCGGCCCACAGACTCCTACTACTCCAATGAAGGCCCAATAGGCCCAGGAAGCACAACAGGCCCAAATCACGGCGCCCAAGGCACCAAGCAGCCCACCACGCGCACCAGGGGTGCCTTCGGCCCCTTGGCCGAAGGCTCTAATTCTCACAGGAGGGCCAAGACAGGAAAACAAAGTTACTGGGAAAAAACGGCGAAAATCAGTAGCCCTCGGCAACTGGAGCCCTCGGCAACTGGAGCCCTCGGCACTAAGGGGGTCCCCGGTACTCAGAGCCCTCGGCTAGTCATCTACAGCCGAGGGCACCTTTCCCGACATAATATCCGCTCCACATGCGTATGGATCACCGTACCCTGTACAACGTCCCATCCAACAACCGCATTAAATGCGGCCACATGCGTTTGCCAGCGCCAACCAGTTGAGGTGACCTCTCGGCCAATGGACGCTTGACACGTGTCCCTGTCCGGCATTTATTGCTACTATAAATAGCACTCCATTTCCCCATTTGTAACCAAGACACAACACGCTGCATACTTGCTAATATACTTTCTCTCTCTATATTTACTTGCTTTGTCTTCTCTCTTGTTATTCCCCGTAATAACCCCTCGGATAAGCTACCCCCCGGGTACACTATCCATCAAGTATATATGTTTGGAAAATACTTAACATGTAGGTTATCGTTTATTTGAAAAAAATAGTAGTCAAGTCCTTGACTTAAAACCCCAACCCACCCATATACCTATGAGTGTATAGGACTCCTCCTTGTCCACAATTTTAAATCAAAATCTATGAGTTTTAAGGACAAAAAATCCTTGGGTACTCCACCAATATACATATGAGTTTTGAGGACTCTTTAGTCCTTGGGTTCTCCACCAAAATATTCATATATTCCGAGTTTTGAGGACTCTCTAGTCCTTGGGTTCTCCACCATATGTATTCCCGAGTTTTGAGGGATCTTTAGCCCTTGGGTCCTCCACCGATGTATATATGAGTTTTGAGAACTCCTTAGTCCTTGGGTTCTCCATCGAAATATATATGAGTTTTAAGGACTCCTTGGTCCTTGGGTTCTCCACCAAATGTATCTCTATGATCTACCTCATATCAACCTAGATAAGGCCTATTTCATAATCATAAATACAAGGCTAAATCAATCCATAAAGCCCATGCATATTAGAGTTCATGCAAAGCCATGCATTCATTTCAATTCACAAGTAAATAATATCAACCGGTGTCGGTTGCCCCGTAGACGACCGGTCAACGCCCCTTTGACCATCACTACGAATCTTACTCATACCAACTTAATCACCATGTGTATCAAGTTAATAAAATTAATTATCATGCTTCTTTCACTTTCAAGTCAAGCATGGATTTTCACACAATTTCTCATATCATACTTCATGTATATTCAAGTAATTCATTTCATTCAAGCCTAACCATTTTGGCACATCACATGTTTAAATATCCTTTAAACATCATTTTGAATATATATAACATTTATTTAGGTAATCTCATAATCAACCCAAAAGTTATAAGACATTAAGCCGTCCACTCACCTTAAATGAGCTTTAGTGTGTTCTACGCTCCTCGGTTGAACTCCGACGAAACTCCGGCGAAACTCCGACGAACTCCGGCGAACTCTAGAAACACTTTAGTTAAGCTCCTAACATGGTTTTATCATCACAAAACTCATATCAAAACAAATAACCTCTAAAAGGTTATTTTCCGGTGAACCGGTCGTTTTGGCTTCTAAGTCCGTTCTTGGACTTAGAATCAACTTCCAACCCCTCATTGTACACTTCTAAACATGTAGAATAATACTAGGGTTCTTCCTAAAATCCTCAAATAATAATATATTCAAGAAAAAAAGGATAAAAGGTTCATGAGGCCATTACCTTAATTTTTCTCAAGTTTTCTACACTTTTAGCAACTTAAACTCTTCCTTTGAGCTTCCTTCTTGCTGGGCTTGCTCTCAACAATGGTGAGGGAAATTTTGCAGAACTCCTACCCTTGATTGGGGTGTGCTGGCCGAGCTATAGGGTAGGGGTGAGAGAGGATGCTCCCTTTTTGTCTCAAATGAGAAATAAGAGAGGATGATGGGTCCTCCTTGGTAATTTAGATGACAAATGCATCTCCTCCACTTCCCTCTTTTTCAAAGCAGCCCCCCTTTGGCATGTTTGAGCTCAAAAAAACGTGGGGTGCCCCCCAATCACGTGGGAGGTCATCCCTTTGTGTCCCGATGCGTACAATCAATCCCGAAAGTTGTATTTTTCGGACTGTTTTAATTATATTTTATTTTATCGGGTCAAATAAAATATATTATGTGTTCCCCATCATTATGGACTTTTAGAATGAATTTAAATTCCTCGACTTTAATTTCGAAGACTCTGAAACTCATTTCGTGCTGCTACCCGATAAATTACCAATACTGGTAATTGGCCCTCGTTGGTCAACCAGTCAACTCTATGTCTTTCCATGGCCCAAACAAAATATCTACCACCATATAAATATTATCTAGACCAAGATGAAATATAATATGTGGTTCCAGAAATATCGTGTGGGCCCCGCTCCCGGTGTGGACCCCACGTGAAATTTACTATTCACGCCAAAATAAATACTAAAAATTTACAACTCCGTAAATTCATTAACCAGATCATAAGATCCAATACATGATTTACATAAAAGTAAATACAATTGGGGACGGTGTTACACAAATGCAATACCATAAAATACGTCTAATCCCCCTTGACTATCTCCATAGAATCTCCTAACGCTTTTAGGTCATCTTGCACACATAAATTTAGAACATGACATGCACATCGTTGATGAAAGAATCTACCCATCAAAGAAGTAGCACCACACAATTCACGCAATCTAGGAAGAACATCAATATTATTAGTAGCATTATCAAAACCAATAGCAAACACCTTATCATTCAAATTATACTCAATTAAAATACGCTCAATCAAAATATAAATACGTTCAGCGATGTGACGATCATTAAATTCACGAAAAGCAAGAACGCGTTTATGCATATTCCAATCATTATCAATATAATGTGCAGTCAGACCCAAATAATGTAAATTATGATAAATATCCTCCCATATGTCAGAACATACAGTAACACGCCCATCAAAGTTTGCAAAATAATTTTGTAACCTTACCTTTTCCGCACCATAAAGCCTTGCAATTTCTTTCTTAACCGTTTTGCGACTATAACCTCTATATTGCGGATTTAAACAAGTTTGTGCATAATCTTTGAAAGCAAGACTTTCAGAAAACAAATAAGGCAAATTTTCTTCAACAAATAAGTTAGCCATACCAGTCAAATTTTGTGCATCATTGTATGAGAAATTACCAAACGGTTGTTGGTTATTTGCAAAGCTCGATATTCGAGTTTGCTTCCCCGTTCCGCCACCTAATTTTACATACTTCATCGTGTGTTTGGCCTTAAGATGCCTTGCGGTGGATCCGTATCCGCTGGAAATCCTCAAGCTATAATTTTTCTTGCACCACTTGCAAGTTGCGTTTCAATTCCCGGTGTTCGGGTCCTTCCACTTATCAAAATTATTAAGCATTAGTTCAAATTTACTTTTTTTCGGACCGGTTTAGGATGAGGCAGGTCATCGGCGTCGTGGCTGCCGCCACCCTCCTCCGCGTCGGCGTCGTGGCTCTCCGGAATTACTTCCTCCACATCGTCGTCCTCAAGCTCTACTTTGTCAATGGTCCTCGGCTGGTCTTGGAAAAAGCGGCTATTATGTCGGTGCAATTCTTATTCTTGTTGTTTGTCGGTCATCGCATCCCCATCCCTCCTTGCGTAACCCGTATCAAAATCATCTCGGCTTTGAGATGAAGAGCAGATATGTGATTTACCTTTGCGGGATCTCGTCCTCGCAAGCTCGTTCGTTCGGTTGCGGTCGAGGTTACCCATATCAACCGAATATCTACCACCTTCCATCTTAAAAATGTAACAAATATTAATTTATAAAAACAATTCGAACTAATGAAATAAAATTCTAACAATTCTAACTTTAATGAAATAAAATTCTAACAATTCTAACTTTAATGAAATAAAATTCTAAGTTTAATTGAGTAATGAATTAACTAGTTTTTTGTACTAGTTATTTGAACTAATCAATAGTATTTTTTAATAAATACTTAAAACTAACAATTAACTAGTTTTTTGTACTAGTTATTTTATGTACTAACAATCAAAGTATTATATAAAATGTACTAATTCGTACTAAAATGTACTAACATTTCGAACTAAGTAGATATAAATTGTAATATGTATGTATTTAGTAGATATAAGTAGATAATAAGTATAGATATAGGTAAGTTGAAGCTAAGTTAGGCGATCTTCAGGCAGAATGGAAGGTCAACGGTGGGTTTCTTGCTTCGAGACCACTCTGGAGCTGCGGTGGCGGCGAAGGCTTTCCGTTAAGCGAATCTCCGGTTGGTTTGTCTGGCATCGAAGAGGTTTTTAGGAAAGCTTTAGAGTGGGCGGTGTCGGTTCAGGTGCTTCCGATGGAAGCTGAAGTTGTTTTTATGGAGTTAATGGGGCGGTGTGTGGGCCTCTCGGCCCAGTTTGATTTGTTGAGCGAATTTGGGTCGGTTCCAGCACAATGCAACAAGGCAGCTGATTGGGTTGCTAAGATGGGTTGGGATGGGCCGTTTAAGTGGAGGGCTAATGATCCGGTCCCAGATGCATTTCGTGGAATCCTCTTTTTGGACTCTATTTCGTTTCCTTATATTTTTTCTTAACATTTCGATTAAATTGTTTGGTTTTTGTGTTCAGAAAAGGTATTGGTTTGGTCCCCCTTTTCTTCTATATACGCAAGTTTTGAGGTTATAAAATCCGGCAAATGTTCCCCGACATTTGTCCCACTGATTTTGATGGTTTACCGACCGGGTTAAAAAAAATATATAAGTAATATAATATATGTATTTATAAATAGATAATTAATATATAAATAGATAAGAAATATAAGTAATATAATATATGTATTTATAAGTAGATGAATAATATAAATAGATATATACGGAGTAATATATCGGAGAATAAGAGAATTTGAGAAGATGAAGATGAAGATAATTAGAGAGCAGAGAGTAGGATTTAGGAAGAGTCGGAGAAGAGAGATGGAAAAATGTTTAAGATTAGGAGTATTTATAGTTTTTTTACCACACCCCCACCTCACCCCCCACCGTCCCCCCACCCCCCAAACTGCCTGGACCCCCCCTGCCGGCCCACCCAACGACTATATAGCCGTTTGGGTAGTCCCAGCCCAGCCTAACGGCTCTTTTGGCCCAAAACAAAATATGACCGTTGTGACCCGGACCCGGGCCCGGCCCGGCCGGACTCGGTCACGTTTTGCCGGAACCAAGCCCGCCCCCCACTGCCCCCCGGTTCTGGTCTACACCCGGTCCCAGACCGCCAGACCGGGCCGGTTCAGGGCCCGCACAGTAGCGGGCCGGTTGCGGGCCCGCACAGTAGCGGGCCGGGCTGGGTCACTGGCCAGATGGCCCGAACCGAATCCACCCCTAAGTACAACCAGTAGTCAAGGGACTGAAGAGGAAAATAAAAAAGATGCAAACCCACAAATAGTGAGTGACCCAATGAAGCTAAACCTAACCGATGATTTTGAACTAATCAGAACCGCAACCAACAAAAATGAACCAAGTTATAGACTTATAGGTTGTTTCGTTTATAGTTTGAGATTTACAATGAATGAGCTTATCAAAACTAATATGTCTAACCTAAAAATGGACAAAATCGAAGTGATTGGACACTCTATTTGAATAATATTGAGGTGCTCTAATGAACAAAAAATAATCATACTTGAAGCATGTTTGGTGATCATGTTTCCACTTATGCCAAATTGTCAACAAACAAGTAATTATTTATTTCACGCGATGAATTGTGTAATAATAATAATAAAAAATTAAGTTGAAGTTACTTTTCTGGTTGTATTGAATAAAATGACCGTAACTGATCATTTTAGCTATTTTTAATAAAATATATTTTAAATTTATTTTTTCATAAATCAATGAAACCCACCCATCCGGTCATTTCAGTCAGAGCTTCATGAATTTCTATAGAACCAACCAATACAGTCGATTTTGATATTACCAATTGGTCTCTTAGGGTAATTATCCCTTTTTGACAATAAAAACCGGAACATTGTTTTTCATATTTTTTGTTTAACTGAAAACATAAAGCGATACTGGAAGAGTGGAGGTGGCCTAAATTTGTTTATAAATTATAAATAAATATGGTACAAACTCAAATTTGAAAGAAAATGTGCCTTGCAGATTCTTATTTGGGACAATCTTCATCGAAAAGAAACTAACTTTAGCCCACAAGCAAAGCATTATCAAACTCAGGCTTAAGTTTATATAGTTAACTCCCTGTTCATGTTGTGCATTACTGCATAAAGTTCAGGCCTCCAATAAAACAAAGTCTGCATATGTCAGAATCTTATGTATACAAAGTGGTAATCTGGTATTTATGAAAGTCAGGTAAATACTCCTCGTTTGGTATGTGTCATTGTTTGTAATCTAAACCAGCTCCATATTTCCAGGCCTCCAGCCTACGCTTCCACTCGTATCTCATCTTGGCCGGGAATGTGTTTATCAAGGGCCTGGCAAAACAACCACGAGTTCGTGGGGATGTCCAAAACTAGGATGGACTTTTTATAAGTATTGAGTATCATGATAGGAATATGGCTTAGGAGGCTAATAATAAGAAATATTAATAATAGTAGGGTACATTTAGTAGTATAAATAGAAGGGAAGGGCTGTAAAGTAAATAGCTATTAGTTGGTTATATGCTTTTATCCCTGCGTGGACTTTTACTATAAATAGTAGGCCAATAGCTAATTAATCCAGGCTGTTATTTTGTTGGAGGTCAGAACCTTGGAGATTGGGCCTCTCGAAATCGCCCCTGAGCATGATTGGTTCAGTTGAATAATAAAGCTTACGATCATCTTCCTTACCTTTCTATTGTGTTCACTATTGATATTATCGTTGTCTATCAATGGTATCAGAGCACTAGCTCCTGGGAATCGGAAATCTATTTGCGACGCAGTTTAGCTTCGTGACAGTGGTGTATGGTCAGAACGAGGTCAAAAATGGAGAATCGAATCAATACGTTGGAGCTGGAAATGAAAACGGGAATGGCAAACCTCACAGCGATGAATGAACAGATGCAGAGGAATTTCGCAGCTTCGATGGCAGCTATGAGCGAACAGATTCAAAACCTTCATGTTTGGTACTGTGCAGGAGTACAGGGATGAATTCGAGATGGTTATAGCCCCCCAGAAAGACGTGGACAGAGGTATTTTGAGAGGCATCTTCATTAATGGTCTCAAGGAGGATGTTAAAACTGAACTAAAACTGTATAACTCCAAGTCCTTATCTGCTATCATGGATAGGGCATTGCTGATTGAACAAAGAAATGATGCTGTGTATTGGAAGCATAAGCGTCAGGACAGAGCAAGTGGGAAGGATAAGGGCACCATGAATGTCAAACCACCAGTATGGGGAGAAGGATTTATGACAAAAGGTGGACAACCATGGTCCAACACTGGAGGTAAAAATACTGCAGAAAACAAAGGCAAACAGCCTTGGTACACTCCTGCAGGGGTAAGGGTGACTGAAATTAATCCCTCAGGTATCAAGCGGGTAGGGCCACAACTTTCTCAAGAGGAATACCAAGGCAGGAGCAGGAGAGGACTCTGTTTCAAGTGCGGGGAAAAGTGGAGTAAGGAACACACCTGCAAATTAAAAAATTACAAACTGATATTAGTAGAAGATTCTGATGAAGAGGTGGACCCAGAACCAACAGAACCTGAACTAGCTGAGGAAGAGGAGATCAATATGGAGTCAAAAACCATGCAGCTTTCTGTGATGAGCAGGGAAGGGATACCTTCCCTGAGAGCTTTTAAGGTGCGAGGCAGTTTGAAATGGAACCAAGGGAAATTATCAGTAGAAACACTGATAGATAGTGGGGCTACTCACAACTTTACATCACAAAAACTGGTGGAAAAGTTGGGCATACCTTACCAGACCATTGCTGGGTACAAAGTGCAGATTGGGAATGGTGATAAGATCTCAAATAATGGCAGGTGTGAAGGGCTGAGCTTAAGGCTGCAGGACACCATTATTAACCAGAAGTTCTATGTATTGTAATTAGGGGGTACTGATTTGGTTCTTGGCATGGAATGGCAGACTACCTTAGGGGATGTGGAAGTTAATTTCCAGAAGCAAATCATCATTCCATACTGCTCATACCAATAAAATTTGGTACAGTAGATGGTATTGAAATTCAGTACCAATTATATCACGCTGGTACGGAAATATGTACACTGATATTTGAGTGTGTATATATATATATATGGTATTTTATTTTATAACTAATAAGTAATAACATTCATAATTAGCCCATTTGTTCATTTACTTCAAGTAATACATAGTACTTCCTCTGTTCTTTATTTAGTTACAACCGTTTGACTTTCATATTTGCGAATGCACGACTTGGACCATAAATATTATTAATTGGCTATTTATAACAATAATAATAAATCATATTTTAAAATTTTACATTGAGACAAGTTTAACAATATTTTCAAAATAGTTTTTTAATACATTATTAAATCAATAGTCAAAATAGGATGTGTAAATAGTGCAAAAAATCAAATGCAACTATTAAAGAATGGAGGTAGCATATATTTAGCCAATTATCAGATTCAAAATTGATGTATTATGTATTGAAGGCTTCATGTTTCTAATCTCAAACAATTAAGGTCTTATGTGCACTAATACCAAAAACTACCATACCAAAGCTTTGGGTTGTTGGTATATCGAATCTTAGTACGGCATTGATAATCAGTGTGAATATATCCCTAATTTGGTTGGTAAACAGAAGTGAAGTATTTGCACTACACACCCACCTATATTGATAACCGGTAAGTTTGGTCTAAGAAGTTTCAACAGGTGAGGTTGACCTCACATTTATATACTAGACTTAGATTAGTTAGATATAATAAACAATGTAAGAGTAAGACACTTAACAAACATCCGCTCTACCTGAGTCAGGCTAGACAAACAGCCCCAAACAGACCCCGGAAATGGACTGCCTCAAACTATCGTGTGGGAAAGCATTTCAATAAAAGATCCTCAAAGGGTAACGTTAACCTCACACTTATAACAGCAGAAACGTAGTGAGCAATTATAATCACGTGTAGTTCTTTTACCTTATTGCAGGTTCAAGGTAGGTAGACAGACATGTATAGCATCCCAACATGAAGAAGTGCCCAGACCAATCAAGAAGCTCTGGAATTCCAACCTGCAAATCAAATCGCGACGAGTATTCAATAGCTAGCATCTTGTACAGGCCTGTTTGTATATTTTCAAGCTTCATTAACGCAAGGAGAGCGTAATGATAAAGAAGTTAAAACAAGTCTGCCAATCATAGAATTGGGGAGACCGCGTCATGGAAAATGAAAATGAGACTCTCTATAGCAGAATGGTACAACATCTCACTTGATATTCACACTAAAGTACTAAACCACAATGTGACAAATCTAAATGTTTTTTGTAATAAATGCGGTTGATAGATATTAAATCTGACATATGATGATCTCTTGTGAATGCCATTCAAGATGTTGCATCAATTTGTCACACAGGATCCCACTTGTAAAAAACGAAGCATGAAATGCAGTATGAGAAAAACAAAATAAGTTAAACAGAAAATTCCTCTTTTAGTCCTTCAACTATAGAGTTTTCCCATTTTTGGTCACCACCTTTAAATCAACCAGTTTAGGTACTCCGGTTCTTGAGAAGCTTTCATGGTTGATCTTCTGTACCATGGGTCGCACTTTGCTAGGGGTATGGGGAGGGTCACTTTACACAGCCTTTCCTTACATATTTGAGGCATGTTTCCCAGAAAAATAAAATGCGGAGTACAACAAAATACCTGCTTGAATATTGACGGAAGAATTTTTGGGTTAGTAAACATTACTAGGCCGAGTGTCTTGACAAGCGGCCCAAACTGTATGACATCCTGCATCAGCACAAATAAACATAAACACATACAAAAATTAGGTTGTTAGTTAAAAAAGGTTCTCTAATCATTGTAGAAGCAATAATTCTAGGGAGACATGGAAATGAAATATTACTAAGTGACATTCTTATGTGTCATGCATCTATTGGACATTCTTATGGGAGCTTCCTAAAGGCTGAAGTTTCACCATTTCAAAAACTTGGAAGCGTGTCAGAAACTCGGAAGCTTCAAATTCCTGATTCCGGGCCGTTCGCAATTAAGAACAATCAAGAAACCCAGTTTCCCTAATTAATTACCATTTCATAAACTTTGAGTTTTCAAAATTTTTATGGGATATTTAGAAATTTTCAGTGGGGTTTTATGGGATTTCATCACAACAACATTTCTTTTAATATATTTATGTAGTAATATGAAATAATTTCTATGTTTGATCATGCAGACTATTTTTATCGATACGAAAAATATGTATATATATATGTTAGAAAGAATATTTTTAGATGTATCCCTATATTTTTCAATAAGTATTTATAAATATACCGTTCTACTTTATATATTTCACGTTTCCATGCTACTTAGGCAATGAATAGTAAGTTATGCTATTATCAATCCAATGGATGTGTGTCACATGAGAATGTCTCTTTACCATGCCTATTTTGGGTCTTCAAAAATTTACAATTGTAGAAACAGAATACTAAAAAGGGGATAAAAGATGAGTGACCTGAAGAAACGGCCTCAACACAGGATCCCCTAGTTGCTGCCCATTCACATAACATGTTTAAGACTGGTGGAAGGATGGCCTTATAAGCAATTACAAACCAGTCCTAAGAAAATTTAGTTGACATACCTGCATGCTTTTGAAATTGGATAAGAGAAGATTGTTAATGAATTCTGGAGGAACATCTGAGGGTTTCTTAGCTGACATTGCCCTTTGAAATAACCATGATGCACTTAAGTTGGGCTGCAAAAACAATAATAATTACATCAAAATGACAGCCATAGAACCAACACTACCGTTCTATGTGTTGGGATGCCAGCCCAACTCTCACATTAGAAGATCAAGGGAAGATGATCATTATAAATATTCTTCTTAACTCTGTTAGTATAGGGCTTTTTGGGAGGTATCCAAAAACAAATCCCGTTATCAGTTTGCACTAGGGGTGTAAATGAGCCATGTCGTTCGCGAACTGCTCGTGGATCGCTCGGGAAAAACTGAACTCGAGTTCGGTCATATTCAAGCTCGACTCGAGTTCGGTTCAGCTCGAATATTTAACAAGCACAATTCAAGCCTATTTATTTTAGGCTTGTGGCTCGCAAGCCGGTTTGCGAGCCATTGTGTGTGTATATATATACATATTTATATATAATCATACGGAGTATTATATATATAATATATTTGAAATATGTATTCTAATTTAGGACTATTCCATTTTCAATACTTATTACAATGTATATTATAAAAGTAATAATTATAAATATAATAATATTAATTATTACTATTATTATAATCATAATCTGTAATAATTATAATTTGTAATATTTATTGATAGTAGAATAAGGAATAGAAATGTCAGTGAAGGAGAAGGGAACTAAAGAATGAGAACGATTAAGTACAAAGTACAAACATTATACTCCCTCCGGTTCTGAAAGATCTTTACACTTTCCATTTTTAGCAGTACCAAAAAGATCTTTACACTTCCTTATTTGCCTTATTTGGCAAATAAATCTACACAAAATAGTGCCACACAGTGCCAAACAGTGTCAAACAGTGCCAAACAGTGTCAAACAGTGTTTATTTCCTTAAAAACTTGAAGTCAAAGTGTCAAGATCTTTTGGAACCGGAGGGAGTATTATTATTATTATTATTGTATATGTATAAATGTAATATCAATAATTTGGAAAATAGAAATTTTATTTTTACGTCGAGTTCGAGCATCTTATTTGAGCTCGAGTTCGAGCATCTTATTTGAGCTCAAACCTATAAAAATTAATTAGCAAAACTTGACCCATGTTGAGCTCGATCTCAAGCTCGTAAATTCTTATCAAACTTCAAACTCAAGCATACCCATGTTCGGGCTCCGCTCGGCTCGGCACGTTTGCACCCCTAGTGTGCATTTGGCTCAAAGCAGATAATATAAGAGATATGCATTTAAGACAAGGTATGTGGTCCCAACACCATGTACTAAAAGAACTAACCATGTATGGATTCAACAGTGACAAGCTCCTACAATCGAGGAAGTTCCCTTCAAGTGCTTCAGTTATGCCTGGTTTCTCGATATAATTGAAAAAATAGATTATTTTTACTATTCAAACAATGGTCATCCGAAATGCACGAATAAATGTTGTACCGTTAGTTAATCTACTAAGGTGTCGAGACAAACTGCCAAAACCACCAAAAGAAACAGGTGACTGTATACCACTAGCATCTCCAAACTGTGAACAGTTCAACTCAGGTTAATTCATTTGATATATGACCATAATATATTTTTGCTTCATATGATTAGAAGAGCACAGTGAGGTAATAATACCTGTAGAACACGATCAAAGGCTGCTGGCAGTGGACTGCCAAAAAATAGGACAAATGTTTTAATGGGAGAAAAACCTTTTAGAAATTACCCTAAATAGGACTAAAAATGTTTGTAAATTCCAAAATAGGACTATCATGTTTTTATTCCCAAAATAGGACTAATTACTGCCATGTTTTGGCAATACCAGACTTCAAACATGACAGTATTTTCCAAACTTGGCAGTAATTACTCCTATTTTGGGAATAAAAACATGGCAATCCTATTTTGGAATTTTCAAACTTTTTTACTCAAACTCTTGTATAATATCAGAGATAGCTTAAATGATTTACCCTCTCAAAATATTTCATTTCTACACGAAAACATAAAAGCATGTTGCGTAGCATATTAAGTAACCTATATATTTTAAGGAAAAAATAAGGATAGGCTTGCATAATGCTATAGAGGAAAATTTTAAGATCATATAAAAGTCAGGCCTTTACCTGTCACGGTATGTTGGGAATATGCCAAACACAACTCTTAAGATCTCTAGACTGTCAAAAGAAACTCCCTATATAAAGTTTTAAAAACACACACATATATCAAAGGTTGAAAACATCCTGAAGGAAGCAACTGCGGAAATTGTATATTCTGATACAGTATAATTAACATATTAAGACTTCATAACCTCAGCTTGAAACTTCACTCATTATTTAAATCACTGGAGAATTGTACTTTAAGTGTTTAACTATAAAATTGAATATAATTGATGTTATATGTTCAGGTACTATTATCTTCTCCATATTTTTGCTTATTACTTATTCTTAATTCAATTAGCACACAAAACAAACAAACCAGACCAGGTTTTGTATTCCAGAGTAGAAACTAGACAAAATTCAAAAAAATTGTATGCCAGACCAGCGCAGACCATACCTAAATGATTCAGAGGGCGCACAGACGTACCAGTTTCAGACCAGAGTTTTAAAATTTTAGATCAGATAAAATCACAATTTTCTGACAATGGGATCAGGTCCTAAGAGTGTATTTCTTTCAAATAAAAGGATATGTTGTTCCAAATGAAAAAGAAATGAATTGGAAATTTTCAAATATCATGGATATGGTATGCAAACATGATTAGCAATATAAAGCAACCCATTCAATATTTTAGAAGATGAGATTCTAAAGATATTTTACAACGATGAATGGCCTTCAATATGAGTATATGACCTGATAGCTAGGCATCAAGTCCCAATAGTCCTCAAGTAACTCTTCCAGTTTTGGACATCCAGGCCGAGGGTCAACATACGTGAACAAATAAGTGGTCCGGTCTGTGGAACCTGAACCAGCTGGAAATGCCTGTTAATGATCAGAAGAAAGCATGACGGCAACCAAGCAAGGAAATTTATCAAGAAATAAGTGCAATAGAAGCCTGAATTGTTCCTTTCACCTACCTCCCAAAAATAATGTACTTTTGACTCTCCGATTTCCTTGACAGATGAACTACTGAAAATAACATCACTTGTAGAGTTGTCTTTAAATCCACGAGCACAAGAACCAACCACCAGGCAAACACCATCAGGTTTGCTTCCACATCTAACCTAATGTAATACTTAAACATCAAAGCTGTTTACAGCCCACTCACACACACTATGCAATCCATGTACAAACTTAAAATATAAATTAAGAAATAACGGAAAAATAGATAAACCAATTCAACAACATCCTAAAAGAGTTTGGGGTCGGCTAACATGGATTGACATATGACATCGGAGTTAAAAAGTAGTTAAAAATAAATAAATGAAAACTGTAGATAGCATGTTAGTACAAGTGCCCGAGTTTCATTGAAGGTTATTAATGGGAAAAGGGTGATATTTAATGCCTTCTGCATTTAAAGAAATGACATTTCCAACTTTAAAAAAGTGGCTAGATTCTAGCTGTTTAACATTGCCCATTGTACATCTTAGGCCATGCAAATCATACTAGATATGCTGATATATACTCTATGTATATTGACCATGGTTGATGGACGCAAAATTGCCCAACTTGGAGGTATAACATACACATTACATATCATTTTGAGAGAAAAGCTAAAAGCAATAAATCGCACCTGTTTTACTATAGGTGAAAAGTTCCCCATTGCATCAATAATGAGTCGTGATGACAAAACCTTTCCCTCATCTAAACACAAAACCTATGATAGAAAGGATTATTGAGTTTTAAGAACATCAAGATTGCATAAAAAATTAGAGCCTAGACTATTGGGTAAGTTGTTGTTTTTTCTGCAACTCACGTTGTTATTTCATTCTAGTAGTGAATTCAGTTTTAATCATTTTAGATTACAAAAATATAAGTCTTTTAATAGTGAGCACACTCTCAGAGTCTCAGATGCCTACTACATCAAACAACCAAATCTTGTATGCTGAGTAGTTTGGTCTTAAAAGATTATCATTTGACATTTTAAATAAAAATAGTCTCCATTGACTTCTGACTTTCTGAGTAGTTTGGTCTTACCACTCCATCCTTATACACGTTTACAGTGGATAAATTGTGACCCTCAAAGGTGACGCCTCCAAACGAATCAAAGCGATCTTTCATGATCTGTACAAGCTTTGAGGGCCTAAGATTTCAAAGCTTCTCTATAAGACTAGAATAATAGAAGAATATAAAATACGGAGTAGTAAGTTGAAGAACCTAAGATTACCAATATAGAGAATAATAAAAGATTGCAAAGTTTCTTTATAAGATAATTAAACATAAATGACTTCTTTTTCCAAATTCAATTCTCACTCAATATGTACTACGTATAAAATAAAATGCTGTGATTGTGACTTCCAGGGATACCAACGCAGATCCTGGCTTACAAAATACCAAGGTTGAGAATGTTCTCGACCCAAATGTCACCCCTTCCTTCAAATCCACATCTGTTCTGCATAGTTTTAAAATAAAATAAAATCAAAACAAATCAAAAGTAATATAGTATTGTAGCACAGTAATTAGAATCCCAAGTTCTAGACTGACAGAAAGGTAAATGCACTTGATATTTGACAATGTTACAACTAATATGCGAAGGTGGGGCGGGGCAATCTGGGCCCGCCACAAATTTGGTAAAACCCTTTTTCCTCACCATCATCATCATTACCCCAGTGCCGCAATGGCTCCCCACCTACAGTGGGGTAAGGGGGGTCGGATGTACGCAGTCTTACTCCTGTACTAAAGCACAGAGAGACTGTTCCCGGATGACTCATAGTGAAAATCGCGTCAAAAATTGCATGAACTGACTGTTGCTTCATAACAAAGAAGCGCAGACAGTTTAGTGAACCCATTTGCTTTATTCCATCATATTTCTGGGCCAAAAAATACTGAGTCTTTGGCTCCATTGCAAATGATGGAATAGGTAAAACCCTTTTTCCTATGAGTTAATTTTTGTGTGTACGAATTTAAATGATTGAATTTTTTCCTGCCCACCCTAAGCTAAAAAAATGGAGTCCTGGCTACACCATTATTGCCAACACTATCGCATGGAGCTCTTAACAATAAACCTACAGGATTGAAACTGGAAGAGATGGTCCTTTCTAGCTCATCTTCTGTCAAAATACCAACTTCTACCAGTTCCAGAAGTTCTTTCCTTGAAATATTCCACTCCTGTTCTCGCTGCTCATCAATTACCCACAAACCAAACGCTCTTATCACATGGAGATGAATAGTTTTTCAATACACAAGTAAACAACAAATCCCATAAAATGAAGAATACAATACCCCCTTCAAAACATTCTTTTCCACAATTCCAACACGAAGACCTTTGGAACACAAGGCAGTGGCAAGAAAGATGCCAAGAGTACCTCCACAAACCACAACATCAAATACTTCTTGAGATCTTCCACCAAATTTGTAATCCTTATAGGATCCAGACATTGTCGTAACTACTTGTGTTGGTAATCCGGTGACCACTGCAATCAATAAATTTGAATATATTCCACAATCCACAAACACTAAAATGAAAACAGATGTCAATATCCATATCAATTACAGAATTAACCTTGTGCATCAGAGCAAATGTTAGACCACAGCTGGTCCAATCTTTTTAAAGCAGTGTAGGTGTATGCGCCACCAGCTCCTCCCACCTCTCCACTCACAGATACACTTTCCATTATCCTCTACAGATCAAGATTAAACCTTTATCACCTCCATATTTTGTTATAATATTTTCTAGTCATCTCGTGTCAAGTGTCATATATAAGCTCTTACGCACTCTGGTTGCCATTAATACAATTGATCAATAGATAATACAACTTTTACACATAGTAAGTGGAAGCAAAAAGAGTGCAGATTAATAATACAGGAATACAAATCCGCAGAGTACTCCATTTTCCAAGGGATAAAAAAACTAACAGCGGAAAGGAAAGCAAAAACTTGCCTTGGTTCTAGAAGGAGTGGTTCGAGCTATGATAGAATTATTCCTTTTCTTGTTATTTAGTGATGGGACTGAAAAAGAGGAGAGTTGGAATAATCCAGTTGTCGTACTGGTTGGCGAAAGCAACACCATTGTCAGGGTTAAGTGTAGCAGCTTCGACTTCAAGGGCGCCCAGCTTGCTCTGTTACTCACCACTCCACTTCCCTAATCCCCCAGTGCTCTAAACAGCGCAGAAAGAATACAAGGAAACGCGCGAGACACGTCTCGTCTATACGGCTATGGAGCTGCTCTTGGGTCAGTTGATTGCACCGGCAGGCCGCAGGCACAGGTCAGAGATAATCATTTCTACGGAAATGATAATTTAAATATCTCAAATGTTATGTGAGCATTAGAATTTGCATATGTATTATAATAATCCCAAATTTTATATACTCTCTCCGGTTCTTATTAAAGTTCTCAGTTTGACTTCACACAAATTAAGAAAATAAATTTGACTTTACTGTGGAGTGCACTGTTTGGCACTGTTTGGACACTGTTTGGCACTGTTTTGTTTCCTACAATGGAAGTGTGAACTTAAATAAGGGACATCCAAAAAAGGAAAGTGAGAACTTTAATAGGAACCGGAGGGAGTAAAAGTTATGTTACAATCATAATCATATGTTTATTTTTATCGTAAAATTGCCTCTATTTATATCATAAGTTTAAGGATCTTACATCAATCAAAGAAAACACAAAACTGACATCAACTAAACACTAATAACTACGACCGTAAACCTTATGATGAGACTTAGAGACGGTTACCCTCAAAGAGCAACACGAATCGCTAACCATGCAGCGAGCTTGACACAGTTGTCCTTGTTCCCATAGATCCAAACATACCCAATGACATGAAAAAGGCTATATTCTTAAACAAATTGACAAATCAACCAACATAGACAGTAGCAAGAAACCAAATTACAAAATAATAAAAACTAATAGGAAAACTTTCATGGACTCTAGCACCTCGTATAATCCCTGGTGGTGGTTCAGGAGGAGACTGGACCACCGATATGATTGTTGACGCACCAAAGCGGTTTTCCACCGGCTCGTCTACCTCTTCTTCATCCTCATTGATCGCTCGTTCGTCCGGTGCTTCACTGATGTCCAGGCCAACATGCTTCCCAGTCAGATTATCCGCTGGACCCTCCCCCTCTCTGGACGCCTCTTCTCCTTCCTTCCTCGACTTCCACAAAGTTTTCTCCATTGACCACCACAACAAGGTATCGATGAAAGTCTACTGCTAGCAAGCGATTACCTTTCTCTGCTAAAATACGATCGCCGCACCAAAGACGGCAAAGCATGAACCCTGATGCAAGGGAGATGTCGTCCGCCGTTTCGTGCATATGTATGAATAACTTCAATGATAGTTGATTATTAATCATATGTTCTTTTTAAAAATGTAATTTTATGATATCGATGTTAATTGTATAATATAAAATACAATAAAACATTTATGAGGATGAAATTAACAATAAACTATACCAGATATAATATTATTTATTTCATAAATGAAATTTTAGGATGTTAATTGCACCCTAACAAAGTTTAGAATATTTTAAATTATGTAAGTAGTCTAATAAATTTATATTTGTAAAAAAACACAATTATGATGTGAAAATAACTTTTATATAAAGTTTGGGGTATGTATATTGCATATCCGATTTTGGGGTCTTATTTCACACTCTATTAAAATTATGTATATTTATATTATTTTTCCCTAAATAATACGGAGTAGACTTTATGGGAGTTATCTAAAACAAGGGAACTCTTTTATGAGTATTATACTAAAGTAAATACAAAGATTTGTTTTTAATATATCCTAAAGTGAAAATTCGTACTATTGATGTCAACTTGTAATATTGAGTATTATATTTACTATTTTAGATTGAAATAATTACACATTTATGATTAAAATAAAAGGTATTTATAAAAATGCGACCTATCAAAGTGTAGTGAATACAGTAAACACTTGGTAATTTATGTTCAATTTTTACATTTAAGTAATCATGACAAGTATGCTATAGTATTTTTTAGTCAAACTTTGGTAAATGAGTTTTTTTCTAATATTATTTTAAACCTCTTAGTTTTACATTTATTATAATTAAGAATTAATCGATGCCACTCGGCCTCATAATGCCGCCTCCGTTGGTGATTGTGAAATGACTAACTGAAATCTGATAGTGGTCATACAATTACTTAACTCGTTAGTGATTATGCCAATAGTTATCATCACATTTCTTCGAGTGACTAATTGATAAATAATGGGAGCCACCTCGCAACCCTAGTCATTTGAGCCCTGTCACGACAAAATCCATCACAAAACTCATTACTGGCCATGTCTATGGTCCTAATGGATTGAATCACATTAACCTAAGCAAATCGCATCCATGACAATTGTAAAGTATACATAGAATACATATGTATCGTACTAGATTAGACTAGTTCAAATCAAGCCAGATTAGACTAGAAAATTATAGTCCAATTCAAAAGACCCTAATTTATCGCGTATTTGTTATTTATAATTTTGTTAAGACACTATGATAACTTTTCATGCCAAAAAGCTTTTGCGCATTTTTTGACTCAAATTTGACAATGATGTGTTGATCCGTGCAAAATACTTAGACAAAACTAATTGCTATTAGTAAGAAAAACAATGAATGTATCTTGTGTATGTATGAATTTGTACTCAAGATAAGTGTCTTCAATACATAAAGGTTAATCATCTCGCATATTAGAAGTTATGTCATATCTTTAACCTCTAACTTTGGACAAAAAAACCCATACTTAAGAAAAAATTATCATACTTAAGAAAAAACCCATATCTTCAAAGAAAGTGTAGTAACGTTGGCAATAACATGTCTATGTGCAAGGAATTGCTTCTTCACAATTGTATGATCAATTACATTTCTCATTACAATTATCATATGTTCTTTGATGGGTTTTTTTGTTTGAGTAGAGTCACAAGTTTCATAATAAATAATCATACTCCCTCCGTCCCTTATAACTTTGCCAACTTTCCTTTTTTGGTTGTCCCAAAAACTTTGCCACTTTCCCTTTTAGTCAATCAATTTGTGGTTCCTGTTATTTCTCTCTTCTCTGCACAAATCTCCACCACACAGTTTTTACTTTATTATTCTACGTTTCGGTCAAACTTGCCAATCCTTTTAGGGACGGAGGGAGTACTAAATTGCGAGGGCACGTAGCCACGTACCTATGCCCTCCAAATCCTCCATTGCACTCAATTTTATACTAGCTTCCATATACAATCTACTGATACTTCACCTCGATGTCGTATCCACGTATCCGATACCGATACTCACCGATACGCGTCCTGTACCGCTGTACGTATTGGGTCCATATCCGTAATTTAAAGAAAATATTGAACTTATTTTTAAAAATATAAATACTTCTGATACTCGTATCCATGAACCAATACGCGTATCTAATCCTATAACCCTTATTTCATACACGACATGACGATATTTTGTAATCGTCCAAGCGACCACAAGATGGGGAACATTGTAAAAATGATTTCGGGAGTATGGAAAATGTTGAAGTACTATTATTTGCCAATTTATCGCTTGATAAGCTTTAAATGAAATCACTCGTTAAAAAAATTAGGTGTAAATGCAAGTAGAAAACCAAAAATGTTATTTGAATTTAAATCAGAACATTTGTTTAGTCTAATCTTTGAAATTTTATTATAATTGTTATTTTTTGTACTATTATTATTTTACTTATTTATGAGCCTAGGAATTATATATATATTTTCCAATTACACCCTATATTACTATTGTTTATATATATACTCTCGTGCCCGTATCCTATCATTTTTGAAGTTGCCGTATCGCCGTGCCCATATTCACGTATTGTCGTATCGACGTATCCGTATCCGTGCAACATAGACTTCCATCGTATATAGTAGTAGTATTATATTAACAAATACGTCATATAAGATTTGGGGTGTTTTATTTATGCTAACTCAACATTATAAATTGTTGAGTTAGTTTAACTCTATTTTCTCACTTCTTGTTTAGTATACTAGATTTTCACCCGCGCGATGCGCGGTACATAAATTAAATAATAATATTAAGCAATAATAGTTAATGTCTAAATGACATGACATAGTATATATGTAATACACAAAATCAATTGTAATTAAGATAAAAATATATACGACTCGTAATTGGTACGAATATTGTTTTGGGAGAGTAAGGAATAGAAACATTATAATAAGAAATCTATACTCTACACGTTTCTAAATACTTCTTTGTAGACAACATTGGTAGTACGGTCTAGTTTTTCTCCATTTTCACCGCATATGAGTATCTTCAAACCCTTGCGATTTGTCACTCTCGATGCTGCAACATATAGTTGACCATGTATAAAGATAGGTTTTTTCAATATAAGGCCAACATGCGTCAATGATTGACCTTGACTTTTATTTATTGTCATCGCATAAGAGGTCATCACAGGAAATTGTCTTCTTTGAAACTTGAAGGGTATTCTTAAATCTGATGGAGTCAAACTTAACCTTGGAATGACAACTTCAAGTCCTGCGTATTTCCCCCTAGAATTTTTGCTCCAAGAATGTGATTCCTAAGCCGTGTAATAATCAACCTTGTTCCATTACAAAGGCCCATAGAAGGATCAATATTCCTGAGAAGCACTACTGGAGTACTCACTTTAAGGATTAACTCGTGGTTCGGAACTCCTGATGCACGGATTTTATTGAGGAATTCAGGAGTGTGCAAGTCAGCCAAGAAATCAGAATTTGAGTCTGACTTGCAGATGCTATCAGAACTCAAATATATCCTAGACTCTTCTTGAACATTGAGAGATGTCATGTATTCATTGATTTGTTCCACAACATCAAGAGTTGGAGCTAGAATTGCACGCTTTAGTAAGTAGGACGAATCATTGGCAATATTCTGAAAATTAGGATATGTGCTGTCCACAATAGTGGCAATTGAATCCTCTCCACACTCTAATAGAATGTCACTTGGAATTCTAACATCAGCAAATCCATCATTGACTTCACCCGCAATACCATCTCCTAGAT